GATGTGCATGTGCAATGAGGTAGGACTTGCCAGCATGTTCTTTTTGGTCCAGTTGTAAAGCCCCAGCCGTAGACACTAGTTCTTATTTCCCCCAGCATCTGTATAAGTTAGGGAGCCTTCTACAACCAGGTAAGCCTAAGACATCTCACCCCAGTTTCTTGTCCTGGGTTGACGGAGCTTGATACTGCATCTTTACCAAGCACCCACTTAGGCAATTCCAATCCAACCTCTGATTGTACATTTGGAAAACTGAATCTCAGAAAGAGGCAGAGGCTTCCCGAGCCCTGCTATAAGGAAGTGGTATTCAGCTCCAAGCATTGTCCAGGGGCTCAGAGCACTGGCAGGGGGAAACTAGGGCTCCTGGAAGTCCCCAGATAGCCTTGAGAGGACACCATCATATTCTGAAGTCTTCTCTTGGGACCTACAATAGAATAAGCTTTTTCTCAATGTGGATTGGGGATACAGGAAAGAAAGCCTCCCTCTCCTACACTGTAAATTGGAGTGCTTAGAGTAGGTGACCCCAAAGGGTCCTCAGGCTCAGAAAGTGTCCATTGGCATGAGTTCTCTGTCAGTGGCTCACTGGGCTCCAAGACCCTGGGAAATGCTTTTCACCTTCTGGAAGTCATTCAGAGAAGGGGGAGGACAGGAGCCTGGTGGATGAGGACTTGCTACAAGGCAGAAGAGCCATAGCACGGGATCTTGAATCTATGGGAGCCTGAGGTTTTCAGGGGAGATATCTAATATAAACCATAACACTGTGATTCGAATCATACCAAGGTGCCTCATCCTGGCCTGCAGAGTGGTGGCATCCACAACAGCTTGCCATGGGCCCCTCTGCTGGTACGTACAGAGTCTGGGGCTCAGAGAGGAAACCTAGCCTTGGCTCCTTGTGGTCCTCACCAAGAAGCGGGAGGAGTCTTGTCATCTCTGTGGTGATGATGCCTCCCTGGATAGTCACTCCAGGAGGTGTAGGCAAAGACTGGACAAGGGAGGTACTTAAGGCCCCTCTCCTTGCTCTTTCAGGCTTCAGAACCTCTTCTTTGCCCCCATGAGACTCCAAGAGGCACTGCCTTGGGATTGCTGACTTGTGTATGTGTGGCTGGTGTTCCTGCCTGGGGCTGTGGTGCTGATGCTGGCCACCAGGGGGGCAGGCAGCTTGCTGGTCAGTGGTGCCTCTGAGCTTTGCTAGAGAAACAGGAGCTGGGTGAGAGCCACGCAGAAGTTACTCTGGCTGTCTGACTGAGTCATACCCAACTGGCACCGCCTGTTCTTACTGATCATCTCCAGAGCCTGAGCTGGTGAGAAGTGGAAGGCGGAGCTCTAATCTTTCCTAGTATTTGTCCAGCAATCATGTCCTTCCTCCCCCAGCCAAGTACCCAGATGGGCCCACTATGAGGTGCTGAGAACCACCACACAACCATGCAAGAGGGGTTCATAGCCTGGAGGGAGATGAACAGAGCATGAAAGCCAGTATGTGTGAAAGGCAAGAGCCCGAGCCACAGCCAACACTGGGCAGGGGTGGGGAGACACTGGGCGGGAGGATGAGAAAGGCCTCCCGAGGTGACATTTGTGCTGTGAGCAGTGCAAGTGGGAGCCGGATGTCATTCTTTTTTTTTTTTTTTTTTTTCAGAACTGGGGATTGAACTCAGGCCCTTGTGCTTGCCAGGCAAGTGCTTATTCTACTGAGCCATCTCCCTAGCCCTAAGGGAGCTGGATGTCTACAAGTTTGGGAGCAGTGCATCCGGGAACAGGCAGCCTTGATCCAGGTACTGGCAGATGGAATGAGTTCAGCAGAGGAGGTTAGAAGGTAGCCAGTGTGGCTGAGGGGAACCTGGGAAGACAGATGAGGGGAGGTGGAATGTGGCGGGGCTGCAGGCTAGGGCCTGGTGGTCTAGGTTAGTTGTCTGTTCTCATGACGCTGTTACAGTCCAAGCGGTGAGTATTTCACGGTTCCTGTGGACCAGGACACCAGCACCAGGCACAGCTCCCTTGGGAATCCTGACAGCACTCAGCTCTCTCAGGAAGCTGGAGCTGTGGTCTCTGGACCATGGGAGGAACTGCTCCTGAGCTCCATCCTCACAGGGTACTGGTAAGATCTGGCATGAACTGATAGCCTGAGTTCCTTCCGGTCTGCTCTCTACATAGGGCAGCTCAGAGCATGGACCCTTGCTCTCTTGTTAGCAATTATGAATAAGAAGTGGGGAGGGAGGTGGGGAAGGGGAGAAAGAGAAGGTGGGAGGAAGTGGAGATGGAAAAGGAGAGAAGCAGCCCAGGTGAATGCAAAAGGAAATAGACAGCACGTTTTGGTAATTAAATGTTGGAAGCTATAATAGCTGTATTATAAAAATTTTAATTCTTAGTGATATCAGGAGGTGGGGTCTTTTGAAAGTAATTAAATTGTCAGGGTAAAGAAATAGTGCTCTTTGTAAAGGGACACCTGAGAATTCTCTTCTCTTTCAGCTATGTGAGGATACAGTGAAAATTGGCGGGTGGCAACCCAGGAGAGGGACTTCTCCAAACCTGGATCAAGTTGGCTCACCATGGTCCAGACTTCCAGCCTCCAGGACTACAAAGAGTGAGCTTCTGCTACATGTGGGCCACTCACTCTGTGCTGCTTTGAATAGCAGCCCCTCAGAAATGGCATCCTGTCACTTTTTCTGTATTCTGAATCAGGTCACTACTGATTGTTTCAGACTCTTGTGGATACCCCCCATTGAGCAGGCCAGGATGAAGGACATAGGTCTGATTCTAATCAGTGTTCTCATTTATATCTGGATGTCTCTCTAAAGCCTCAGGCAGGCCTTTTGAGAGGTGATTGGGTCATGAGGGCACTATACTTATTGGTGGATTAATCTACTGAGTTCATGTGCTTCTAGGAAATTGGGTCTGGTCAGAAGGGGGG